ACAGAAGCAAAGCCCAAACCACACCCACTGCCGTGGAGTCCATTCTGACTCACAGCGCCCCTAGAGGACAGAGTGGAACTGCACCACAGGGTTTCCTAGGCTGTCATCTTTATGGAAGCCGACCACCACATCTTTCTTGTGTGAGTGGCTGGTGGGTTCAAAATGTCAGCCTCTGAGTAAGCAGTACAGTAGCTGAGTGCTCAGCCACGGCGCCAGCAGGGCTCCTTTAGGCCAATTAGGAGACATGGTTTCGTTCATTCATTCCTGCATTCATTTTTAATTCTCTGAATAAAATGATTTGGAAACAACAGTTGATTCAATAGTCACCCTTTGCCGTGATGGCTGTATAAGCACCAGGGACAGAGCGCACCTGCTTCGGAGACTGTGTGCGGGGAACTCGGGCCCCAACAGCTGTTTTCAGCGAGATCCTCGGTGTGGTGGACGTTTTTGCTAGATACAGACTGCCAGGCTGTGGACATACACGTTGCCTCTGTTTCATTTGTATCCGTGCATCTTGCATCTCTCTGGCATTCTGAAGACTTGACACTAAATCTATTAAAGAATACATAATTAGCCAGTACTCAATGTGCTGCAGAATTTTAAAAGCACAGCCAATCCCTGTTTTACATCATACAAATCAACTTTCTGTCATTCTAAATGCAGAATAAAAGTATTTTTCTTCCTTTTTTGTATCTTCAGGGATGAACAAAGCTTCCCAATTTGTAAAGCTGTAAAAGAATAAAAATACAGCAATTCTTTTTATCTCACACTTGGAAGAAAATCAGTAGCCAAATAAAAAAAAAAAAATATTCCAGTCCAGCAGGCCAGGACTGCATGCTCTATCTCTATTTTCAACAAGCAAATCCACAAGTAGGTATTTTTAAAAAGGAAACAGAACAATTTGACCTACTCTTTGGATTTAGAACTATCTAACGTACTGAAAAAGGTTTTGAAATTATTAATCATCACAGAAGGGGGCAACACCCTTGGGACACCATTGGATAAGAGCACTATCCAACCCAAAGGCGGGAACGTGTCACGCGAATTCCCACCCGGTACCTAAAGGTTCTCCGGCACCGTTTCTGGGAGGTGCAGCTGCTGCCTGATGGCAGGTGCGCCCGTCAGCCCGAGGAAGTCCACCCTCACCAATGCCATTCTCACTGTCACCGGCATCGAGCTCAACTCTACTGCTTTGGGTGTGTTTGTCTTCTTCCAAATTCACATTCCTGGTAGCACACTGCTCATTTCCTTGAAAACGTGACCTCGTTTTAAAAGGTGGGACAAAGACTTTGGTGGCTTTGCCTGTCGTAACTGAGGGTCTTGTTTTCTCATTTCCCGTGGCAGGAACTTTACGAGGCAGCTGTCCTGGAACGGATAAATTGCTTGGAGGTTTTTCCAAAGCCAAGTGTTCAAAAGAACAAGACTTAAAAAGAAATTCCTGACCAGGTGCCGTAAAATTCGGGTTCTGTATTTCTCGCGATTCTTTAGTTGTGCTGAAATGGGGAGAAAAGTATTTAAGTTTGACTATTTACCAGTGAGCCTGACTATTCACTACTCATACTTGGCAACAGAGGGTCAGCAATAAAGAGGAAAACGCTCAACGAGATGGAGTGGCACAGTGGCTGCCATAATGCGCGCAAACCCAGCAGGACCGTGGGGTGACGCAGGACCGGGTGGTGTTGCGTTCTGTCACAGACGGGGTCGCTGTGAGTCAGAGCTGACTCGCCGGCACCTGACGACAACAAGAGCAAACTCACTGCCTTCGAGTCGGCCCTGACTCACAGCGACCCCTCCTTGGGTTTCCGAGGCGGTATCACTACGGAAGTAGATTGCCCAACCTTCCTTCCGAGGAGTGGCCGGTGGGTTTGGACCTCCAGCCTTCTGGTTAGCAGTCAAATGCCTTACGCACTATGCCACCTAACAACAACATTCACCAGTAAGTGCACACATATAAATGTTAAGGGATCTGTATTTTCTTTGTAGACCTCACATGTTGCATATTAATTCTTTCCCAGTAACTGTTTTGCATTCATCATGGTTGCATGTCAAACCACCATCCTGGGCTCTTCAAGTCTCTGATGATGTCCTCACACCTGTCCTCTCAGGTTTGACTCTACCACCTTCTCGGGCAATGGGAGTCTGTCAGCGGGGCTCTCTGTTTGGCCTGTCCACTTCCACCACAGACTTCTCACCTCCTGCACCAGAACAGCAGTCACACGTCCTCTCTGCTCTGACCAACACCTTCTGCTGTTCTCTGGCCGCCACATAATGGTTTCGTCTCTGCAGGAACCCCACTACTTCACTTTATTAATCTCTCTTCCACCTCTTTAACCGTTTATTAGTGCTCCCTTCATTTAGCAGGAAAGGCTTGCCACCCTTGAAACATTTCCCCAGCCTTCCCTCTCCTGAAGCCGGTTCTCATGTGTAGTCCCATCACCTGCCGTATCGAGCTCAACATTTACATGCGATGATTCTTGCTGTCCCGTCTGCCTCCCTGAATAGCAATCAGTTACTTATTTTTTATTCATCAGCACAGAATATATCAGGCACTCACAGTAGTTGCTTAACAAATATTTGCTACATGCATGGAGCTTTTCCCATTTACTACGTAAATAAGAGTAACATGCATATACATAACTAAACATTTCCTTCTTTTTTAAAATTACAACTTGTTTTCGAGAAAAACAAATGAAAACAAACCAACAACAACATCACCTAGCTTTCTACACATAAGCATGTGTATTTGAATCCGGCTGGAAAATATATCTCAGAAATACAGTTAACTGTTTTTGACACCACCACAAATAGTTATTTTTGGGAAGGCTAACATTAAAACAATTTAAACCAAATCTTTGGGTTTAAAAAATTTGCCAGATAGAAAAGATTTTGCAACTGCTTTCAACATTTTTAGATGCTTCTACTAATATTTGCGCCTGATATCTCTAAGTGCCATCCCTGTAACTCCTTCTTCTTGATTTTTCCTACTGAAGGACCACTGTACAAAACTGAAGACACAGCCCTTCATCAGCGCTTCACTACATACACCCTCACAGGCAAAACTTCTTGCCTCTCCCCATCCACCCAAGTCACGTATGTCATTCAATCCATATTCAACATTTACACTGTTGTTGTTGTTGTTATGTGCCGTCGAGTCAAACCCAACTCATAGCGACCCCTCCTTGGGTTTCCGAGGCAGAATCACTACGGAAGTAGGATTGCCCAACCTTCCTTCCGAGGAGTGGCTGGTGGGTTTGAACCGCCAGCCGTCTGGTTAGCAGGCAAGTGTCTTAGCCACTATGCTACCAGAGCTCCCAACATTTACATTATGACTACGTAAAAATGATTTACAGCTGAGTTGTTAAATTAGCATAAAGTGCACACAGTATGTGTTTGTCTGTATTTCAATTTTCCTTCTTGAGTAGTGTTTCTTCTAAGTTTTGATCAGTTTGGTTTTTTCCTGATGTCTGGCAATCTCTGGATGTCTGTACATACTCAAGAGCTGGGAACCAAAAGGCAGTTCTTGGTACATAGGCAGAAACTGCTGACAATAAACAAAACTGTTGACGGATTAGCTAGAAAACTGCAATAGTGAAAACTCAGCTGCCAGCATTCTAGAAGGTGGGTGGGGAGACTGCTTCTGGGGTCCTCACACTCAGGGGGCTACACTAACTTCTTCACTGACTCTGCTCTCAGTTCAGACTTCTGGCTTCAGCTGCACCCCCTGGGCTCTCCAGTGAAGAGTCCTTCTCTACTGAACCCTCTCTGAAGAACCACCGTCTGGTCTTCAGTTAGAATAGCCCGGGTTCATGGCGTGAAGGTGGCACCAGACATATCTTCTACCCTCCTTAGTTGGGCTCTCTCCCTCTCCATCACGCAGTTCTGAAGACATCTGAATCCACCACTGTCTGAGCTTCTGAGGGTTCCTGAGTGTAAAGAGTTGGCTTTGTGCTCTCTCCACTACCAGCTCCAGGTCCGTCTTCTTCTGTGCGCTTTCAAACATTTAGATGCTGTAGTCCCTCCTCCAACTTCCTTGTCCTCTGACGTGTGTCTGTGGCATGGGCAGACCTCAGAGACACTGTGGGTTTGGTTCCAGACCACCACAATAAGCGAATATCGCAATAAAGCAAGTCATTTGTTGGTTTTCCAGTGTCCATAAAAGTTCTGTTAACACTATTCTGTAATCTATTAAGTGTGCAATCATATGATGAGAAAGTCTGAAATACCGTGAGAAAGACCAAAACGTGACCCAGAGATGCGAAGTGAGCACAAGCTGTTGGAAAAATGGCGCTGACACACTTGCTCGACGCAGGGTTGCCATTAACCTCCAATTTGTGAAAAATGCAGTATCTGGGAAGCGTGACAGAAGGAGGTGTGCTTGTGTGTAAGTTCCTTCACTTGGCTTTGGTAGGATTTGGGGAGGCAGTGAAAGGACCGAGTATGTTTGACTCACCGTCTTTCCCAAGAAAGCTGGCTATCATGAGGTCTTCTCAGTTAGCACCATCCTGAGGGTTCCCTTCGCCTCTCCCTATGTTGACCACTTGTTTCCTAAGTCCCATATCTTCCTCTTTCTTGATTCAGCTAATTATTTTGATTAGCTCCCTGAGAAAAAGGCATAGGAGATAAATCTTGTGCTACTTTATATCTGAGAAATGTCTACGGCCACACGTACCAGACACTGGCCAGTGACAGAATCCTAGGTGGGAAATCATGTTCTCTCTGAATCTCGAAGGCAGGTACAGTACATATTACACCTCACAACAACAACATCATAGTCTGCACTCTTCCAGCTTCCACTGTGGCTGATGAAAGGGTACACACCATTTTAATTCTCAAAGCGTTATTGGAAACCTGCTCTTCTTTTCCTATGGGAAATGTAAAGTTCCTCTTTGTCCTTGGTATTCCAGAATCTCCCAATGATGTGCTTCAATGTGGGAGTCTGTTGGCACATAGACTCTTCCTTCCTCTGTTTCCAGTTCCCTTTTCCTCAGTTGTGCCTGGTATCTCCCCTGCCTCAAGCCCAGAATCCCCTAATTCATCCTCTCCAAACTGCTGGTCTCCTGGGGGAGAGCGATAACTGACCGCCTGCCATAGGGGAGGGAGCAGATGTAAACGCTTCTTGAACAGTCACCTAGTCTTCCTACGTCCTACTTCATCTCCACAAGTGCATGGTATGGCCAACTTCAGAGGCTTCCTCAGGTCCCTCAGAGGGCAGTAGGGCCTTCTCTGCTGACTCTGACAACACTTTTATGTGTAAGTTTTTTCAGGTTTGCCGAGTCACCCAACTGCTTTCTGGCTTCCAAAATTCTGTTGTTGTCTGTTTCTTCTGTTCTTTGTCCTAGTGGGTTTATATTTATATATATTTTTAAAGTCTTATTAATTTTAAGAGCCCTGGTGGCATAGTGCCTAAGGCATTTGACTGTTAACCAGAAGGCTGGCAGTTCAAACCCACCAGCCATTCCTTGGAAGGAAGGTTGGGCAATCTATTTCCGTAGTGATACCGCCTCGGAAACCCAAGGAGGGGTCGCTATAGGTCAGATTCAACTCAAAGGCAGTTTAGGTAGCATAGTGCCTAAGGCACTTGACTGCTAACCAGAAAGCTGGTGGTTCAAACCCACCAGCCACTCCTCAGAAGGAAGGTTGGGCAATCTACTTCCATAGAGATGCCGCCTCAGAAACCCAAGAGGGGTTCACTATGGGTTGGAGTCAACTTGATGGCAGTGAGTTTGGTTTCTTTTTTAATTAATTTTAGTGGGGTTTTGAGAGGCAAGAGAGGAAAAGGGATGATTTTCCATCTCTACTGTCTTTTTTGTGAGTTGATTTTCAGTAATTTCCTTAATCTCTCTCACTCTCAGTATCTCATCTAAAAACTGGAACAAAGTTTGTCTATTTAGGTGTCATTAAATGAGAAAATGAGATGACATAAATAGCACTATAAAGCACCAACAAAAGGACTGAAGTCTTTAGCCCTGGTATATGTTTCCAAGATTTCTTCGCTGCATGTTAGTGACATATGGTAGCCATTATTTTTAGAAATATTTATTTAAAAAAAAAAAAGTTATTCCTATGACAGCATATAGTAATAATTTAAAAAAAAATTTAAAGATGGCTTACCAAGATGGTGCACAGGTAACTGGCTGTAAGGAAATGTGATGCATAAATAGTCTTCTATCCTTTATTGTGCCTACAAAAAAATCATTTTATATTATATATTATTGAAAATCTAATGGGAGATTTTGTTTCCTGTCAGTTTATTACACATTATTGTAAATATTTACAAAAAATATTCTGAGACAGTTACGTTATTGTTGTTGTTATGTGCCGTCGAGTCGGACCCAACTCATAGTGACCCCTCTTTGGGTTTCCAAGGCAGTATCACTATGGAATTAGATTGCCCCATCTTCCTTCCGAGGAGTGCCTGGTGGGTTTGAACCACCAGCTTTCTGGTTAGCAGTCAAGTGCTTCAGGCACTATGCCACAGAGCTCCTTGAGACAGTTATAGATTTTTAAATTTTCAATTCAACTAGTGAAGGCTCAGTAAATAAACAACAAGAGAAATCTTTTGATTCACAAACTGATAACAACTGTATACCAAACTAACAGAGCAAACACAAAAAACAGCATAAACACAAAAAACAAAAAAGTATAAAAGAAATCAGCATAAATTTAGCCTAGAAAGAGAAACTGAAAACTACTAAAAAATGGTGACCTACAGTGAGCAATTAACCGCCAGCCTTCTGGTTAGCAGTCAAGTGCTTTAGCCACTATGCTACCAGAGCTCCTAGTAAATTAATAGTAAAGCCAATTACTATAATGAAATGTGCAAAGACCTGGAGTCTGAAAACCAAAAGGGAAAAACACACTCGGCATTTCTCAAACTGAAAGAACTGAAGAAAAAATTTAAAAGCCTCAAGTTGCAATATTGAGAGATTCTATGGGCAAAATATTGAATGATGCAGGAAACATGAAGAGAAGATGGCAGGAATACACCAAGTCACTGTACCAAAAAGAACTGATCGATCTTCATCCATTTCAGGAAGTGGCATATGATCTAGAACCAATGGTAATGAAGGAAGAAGTCAAAGCTGCAATGAAAGAACTGGC